ACTGATGGACGAACTCCTGCACCGAACTCCCTCACCGGTGCTGTGAGGAGAACGACGGCTTTGCTTCAAGTGTCAAGTGTCGGGTCTGTCAGAAGTCATCACGGTGAAGCAGCAGGATGCAGAACTTGCACCAGGCAGAGGGCAGGATGCAGGGGAGATCCTTTGAATGCGAAGACCTTTTGAATGTAACATAACATAAGAATCGCTATTTCTGATGACCCTTGACAATAGGACCCCCCCAACCAAAAAAACTTGACAAATATAGGAGCCCAAAGTCTGACCCCCCAAGTAATCCGAAACGACACATCTGATCCCGATCGCCTTAACGAAGCAGAACAGACGGCTGGCCGTGAGTTTTGATCTGCTTCTGATTCTCACACCTCGCCTGCCTCAAGGTGTGTGCTTCACCGGACTGGCGCAGCACCACGTCATCTTGCTGAGCGTCTACGAGACGAAAGAGAAGACGAAACCGCTCAGCTTGCTGGGGGCGACTGCTGTGCTGGTGAGCGAGCTGAAGAGCTCCCAGGAACTACCCCTGCAGCCTGGATGGGTGGGTTTGCTTGTAAGGTACCTGGCAGGAGGAGATTTTCGGATCCTAGGGTTGGTGAAGCAGAATAGAAGCAAGGCACTCGAGTGCGCAGTTGTTTTTTCGGCGTGGAGATGTTTATGCTTCATGAGGACCCTCCAAGACATGTTGCACCCAGAAGCTCAAGGAGATTCAAGGACATCATAAACGTTACATCCACCAGATTGGTTTTGTGATAGTAACTGTTGTACATTACCAGGGTTGGGAACAGTGCTTGTTGGACACTTATATAGGCAAGTGTTTTCCTGCCTGTCTTACTGCCCGGCGCAGGGAGAATATATTATTGATATCATTTGATATCTAATGCAAATGAAGAGCGTGAGGTTCTAGAATCCGAGATGATTGATGAATGAAAAGTGAACGATCAATTGAAAGAACTTATATAAAACAGGGAAACGATGTCATTCACTTACTGTTCATGAATATTGGTTCACCCTCAAGATCACCTCTTGTTTGCTATAAGAGTGTGTCCTTGTTTTTGCTAAAGATCTAACTTCATTCAATTCGGCACCTTTTGTCGCTCGCAAGTGTGGACGGTGAAGCCGAACGATCTACGTTTGGACTTCGGATCAACACCTGTTTCGGCGTCGACAGGATTCGCCTCTATTTAAAAAGCATACCAACTGAATATACCCTAGGGCTCCAAGTACCTTCTGAGAAGGTGTTTGGGGTGGGTTTGGAGGGTCTAGTCATACCTTCTGAGGATGTACTTGGAGCCCTAGGGATAGATCAAACTTAGACACGATCCGAAAACGATCCGAAGTCGTGTTCCCCGCGCCGGTCGCTGACGGTCGCTGTCGGGCGCCACACCGGTTGGACCGATGTGTCGAAAAGGCAATGCCGCGGAAAGGCTTTGGAGGACTCACTCCTTCTGAGCGTGAAGCTGTCGGAGATGGAGGTGATGGAGTTTCTGAAAGCATTTCGAAGTGGGATGTGTTTTTCTTTTTTTTTAAATAAGTTGTTGTTTTATCAATGATCTCAAGATTATATCTGATAACATACCCTTTGACATCTAGATGGGAGAGTGGAAACCACTCGTTTGTTTGTAGAGGATGTTTGTCCCGTGGCCATGGAAAAGTCCGCACATGTGATGTGTTCGTTGGAGTGTAAGTTTTAGGTTTTGGAGTTGGTGTGACTTGAGTAGTAGGGAATGAGGGTTACCGAACGCAGCCAAATGGTCGTTTGCAAGTTGAATCATGGAGTCTACTCTAGAACCTACTGAACTCTGTATGGATATTATGTATGGATTATTTGATCGATTTGTTGGAATCAGCCTTTGTTGGATCAAGTTTCACACTCCTCCAGCATAAGGACAAGCCCTGGTAGAGAAGAAAACACATCTTCCAAACCTCAAACCTGTGGTTTTCTATCTCAGGGGATTTGGATCAGTTTAGCTTCCCAGTTTTCCCTACCCAGGTCAAGTGGATAACCTTTTGTCCCCACCCAACAAGAACAGGTGGAGCTTCCTTGCTTCCTTCGGTTCATCTTCTCGGAAAGGACTCGGCTCGGGAGTCACCCGAGGTTTCCCGCGCTTCTAGAGTCTCCCGGAGAGAGCTACGGCAAGCTCGGCGAGGAGGGCGCTGCCAAGGTGAAAGAAGGAACACAAGTCCAGCCTCATGTGGACGTGCAGGTGGTGACTTTCCAAAGTGAAGCCTCGGATGATGATCTTCAACAGGAAACGATTTAGTGGCCATTCCCAAGGAATGGACACTTCACCCGCAGTGGAAGACCCGCTGCTCCTATTTTAGCCGTCAAAGCGTGCTGTTTGCACGTTGCCCACGCTCCTAACCATGCATTTGGGTGATTTCGAATTCTTCAGCCTAATCATACTGAGGCAACCCAACCCCTGACCCGTCACCATACTAAAGCAACCCAACCCCTGACAAGGTCCTTACTTCACGACGAATTACGTTTCTATCTGTGAAATCACCCATGTGGGAGCTGTATCGCTATAAGCATTTTTTTTTAAAAACCGTGATTCATGTCAAGGACTGGTCCAGAATTCGTCGCCTGCTGTTTCCTCACCCAGAACCCGTCGACGTCGCTCCCCTGAGTCGGTCCCAACAAAACGCCGTGATCAAAAAATGGGTTGGTTGGGTGAAATGGAGGGGATATCCCCAAGTGTACAAGCAATACTATAGGATACTATAGGTATATTTGGTACCAAACTGACTCCCCCTATTTTGTGCCAAGCTCGGACATCGTACCGTCCATGTGTTCTCAGGTCATTTGGATCATACCTCACATGTCATTTTGGGCTCACCAAAACGTGAGCCGGTGTTTTGTCACCAGAGGTATCGCCGAAGGCTTGCTGAAGCTCTGGTAGTTGCTTTAATTGGCATTCGCACCTAATGAGAGGCACAGAGTAAAGACTGCAATGTATAGAAGCTTCCTGGAGGAGTAGACAGAATACTGAGACTGAGACATTGAACGATCTGAGCAGTTTCCTGATGGTTTTTTGATTTATCTATGTACTACTACTTCAGGATAGCTATAATTCATGAATCTTTTAGATTTCAATCACGTTTTTGGCACTTCCTTTGAAGGTGAGCGTGCTCGCTGCTCATCACATGCCACGTGTGACTGCCGCCTCCGGTGAGACAAAAAGCACTGTTTCACGAGTCACTCACAAAATCGCGGCACAACCCAGGGCCTCCATCGGAATGCCTTTGGGTGGTGTTTTGAAACCACCAAAATCATTGAATATAATTGAATATCCAATTGCCACCATAGTGGCAATGGCCACCTAACCACTTTGCTTGCTTCTTCCCCCTGGGCACCTTAACAGATGCGCTGGAGCACCCGGCTCAGCACGTTTGTTTCGAGAGGTTCGAGGGTTTCCCTCTCCCTCCAGCAACCCCGGAGCTTCTTGACCGTGACCATCGACAGCTGAAGAGATGGACATGTTTTTCGATTCATAGCAGATCCATCCTGTCGATTCCTGTGTGACATGGTGCTGTTTCTACCCTACATGACCTATTATAAAGGTGTCTCCATTTGGACGCCCCTTTGTTCTTTATGTTTCTTTTTTCTAGGTGTCATGGAGACAATTATTGTTTCAGAGGGGTTTGGGTATGCACTTGTTGTCTCTTTGGGTGGTGTTATGGGACACTGTGGAACATAGATGACTACTGAGCCCATGAATCCTCACGATGTATTGTAGCGACCCTCATGTGGGAGGCAAAAGCTTCCAACACCCCAAACATGATCCTGGGAAGACCCCATTTCCCCATTGGGAATCTTCCTGCAAATGTCCAGGGGAATGTTTATGAATGAAATTAGAACATGCTAGAAGCTACTAGTAGCTAAGGGCATGACTGCTAGTACGTAGTTAGAAGCTACGTTCGTTTCCCCAGTCATCTGGAAGACGCCATGTCCCACGCGTCCCAAACGGACCTGCGTGGTCTGCGGATCGCGCCAGGCGACGGACCATGGACCCTGTCGGAGACCGGTTGAACACCGGTGAAGTCAGTGCAGTCCGACATCGAAAAGGTGTGGCGGCGGAGCTCTCTGGAAGTATCGACCTCCAAAACTCAAAAGCACTGGCAGTCCAAACTAGTAGTTTCTTGTTACTAGTAGTAAGAATGCTACTAGTAGGAATGGCCCTTTGTTTCTAGTAGCAATGGTTTTGGAGCTAGTAGCTTCTTGCTACTAGTAGTAAGGCCAGGAGCTACTAGTAGTGTCCTTGCTCCTAGTAGCGATGCCCTTTGTTACTAGTAGCATCCTTGCTCCTAGTAGGTGAAGCCTTGGTGGTTGATATGAACCATAAGCACTGTTTGGAGGTCGACCTCCACGAAGTCTCGACCTCCAAGTACCAGCCCATAAGCATTTCAATAGCCTTTATGTATGGCTTTGGTCTAGACTATTTATCAACCCATATTAAACATGTTATGCAGGATATTGTCAATATGGTCCATGCAGTGATACTAATGGTTTTGGAAGGTGAAGGTCGTATTCCAGGAAGGCCGAACTGGAGCAGCCCAAGGCAGACCAGCACTGCACCTGGAGAAAGAATTCAATCCTTAGGATACCAGTGGAAGAGTTGGAAGTGATGTACTACACTCCCGAAATCTAACATGGAAGTGGACAACCACCTGTCTGAAGTGGAAAATGGTCTTCCAAGGGGCCATGCCATCCACTTCCATGTTAGTTCCAGGGAGTGTACCGTTGACCTCTTTCGCCTCGGTGTATTGACCCATCCATGATTGGCCTTTTTGCTATCCGGTTGGCTAATAGAGGTGAACCCCCAGGTGAACAACCATCTACTGTATCTAACATTATCTAACCAAATATATGACCTCACCATGTAAATATATTTTCTGGGTAGGTGAATAACCCCTACTAATATATAACTAAATCAGCATCTCTTTAGTTAAATTCCAAAAGGACCTCCTTCTCCTCACCGGTTCGCGAGGAGCGGACCAAAGAAGTCCTGCATGCAGCGGCGCAACTGAAAGCTTCCGAGGCGCATGCGGGTCGCGGCACGCTCGCGGCACGCGGGTTCTGCCGTCTCATGCGGTTCCGCCATCGATGCGGGTCCCGTCGCAGCAAGAGAGGTAGCCAGTGACCATCAAGAGGACCCGTCACCTGGGGTACATGATGGGATCGTCCATTATAGGGTTCTTCAACCTTTGGTGGATTGGTGCGTGGTGATATGTGGTGTTTTTTTGGTTGGCGAGATTTCCGGACGGAGGTGTGGTATGGAAAGGCTTGGGGGGGGGGGAAGTCTGTGTGCCTGCGAAAAGGTTGGTTGGCAAGTGATCACCACTGAACTCTAAGTCTGAACAGCACATGTTGGAAGACGATATGAGGTTAACCTCCTATTCTCCAGGGAAACTGAGGAAGTCAGGTGTGTATCACATTCGGGATTCTATCCCGGGTCAACGCACCCGTGATGTTCAAAGGTGACGAAAACACGCGAAAACATGGTGAAAGGCCACGGCCATGAAAAACATGAACAAATTAGGTCTTGGAAGTTGGGAGGTGAAATTTGTCCTTTGGACTCGCTGGATCTTTGTTCCCACAGTGCAGGCGGCGCCTCGTGACGAGGTTCGGCAGGCTCCTCCGCGGAGCTCAAGGCATGGAACACTGACGTTTGGTTCGGCGGAGGAGGTGGGCTGATGGGGGTGACGAATACCAGAAACTCGATGTATGGCATTTTTTAAACGGTGGTTGAAAAGGGGTCAATGATGGATTGTTTGGGAATATAAAGGATACCTTAGCCCAGCAAACATGGTTGCATTCTGGCAGGATCTTTAGAGTTTTGGACTAGTGACTCAGCGTTTTAGGGATTGACATACCGCATGTTCCACAAACAAAGGGTCCAAAAGAAAAGGGTTTCTATGTCCATCCCTTTAAAAGGCGAGATGTATAGACTGTAGACAAACACCATACTATGGTGTACTCGTGCGGCAGCTCGTCGGCTGTTCGTCCACGTGAAGTGCCGCAATCCGTTGCAGCAATTCCCAACTCGCCACATCCTTACGCCCTTTGCCATGTGGAATTCGCCCTAGGCAGCCCAATACTATATCGCCCCAACCCGGCCCTCGCTCGTCGCCCAAGCCGGCCGCACCTTGGCACCTTCAAAGCAAGAGGCCGGCGCCGACGCCCATGCATGAGGAAGATCTGAATACCCCGGTGACTCGGCCAAACGTTTGGTGTCTTTGGCCGCTCCGAGCTCCAGAGCTCCAGATCGACACGAGGTCCAGATCGTCATGGTGACGTTTTGCTGAAGCTGATGTTCTATTTTTCCGGATTGGGTACATTCGGGTACAGTAATCCCCTTTGGGGAAATAGATTCATCAATCCAAGGCTTCGTTGAACTTTGTTTTTGAAAGTCGAGGTTTATAGAAGTGGATTCCTGGATTCTTGAGATGGGTGAGATGAACCTTTGAAGGGTTTTGCACCCAAAGATGACATCTCCTGCTGAAATAGCTGATGCTGTTGCCCATCAATGTTGCGAGAAATCGTTCCACTTGTTCACTTCCGATCCCACTCCACCAATGTTTGTACTTTGATATGCAAAAGGGGACCAGTTTGTGGGGTCCAATTCCACTTCGATGCACAAGCCGAAGCACAAAAAACACAGTGGTGAAAAGGACCATTTTCTGGCAGATGTGGAGATCAAGAGCAGCTCAAGGAATCGCTCCAGACCTTAGATGTGATGTTTTCTATGAAAGGGGCCGACCCAAACTCCCGACCCAAACGGCTGGATCTTGAACCCGTACATGGTTTAAGTGAAACCCCCGTTCTGCTTTGAGAAGATGTGAAGCTCAGGAAAGTCTGCAGACCTGTCCCGGGATATGTTATAGAAAAAACACAGATCATCGATATGATCTTGCACACTTGCCTTTGGCCATTACAAGGTGCCAGAATCATCGAAAGTCCGTTTTTTTTTCACAGCCACTGGCGACTTGCTTTCCCCCTCAAATATATGCGCAGCCTATGTCTCGACTACTTGCCAACATCTACACGTCACTTTATCATACTTGCTTATTTCACCATCCAAGGTAACACCCCCGGTCGGCAAACAGGTCGGGTGGGTATGCCGACATCTTCCAGACCAAGACCTTCAGAAACTTTCAGCTTTGAACAGCGACAGCTTTGCTCCCAACCTGGTTGCTCCCAACAGCAAAAGCCATTTTTTTGTTCAAGCAGCCATTGGTCTATCCAGCCAGTAGCCTACAGGCATGCCCCCAAGGATCGAGCTGAGCAAAACTCTTCAAACGAGCTGGCGAATTGGTGCTCTTTGGCCCCACCATCCAAGGAGGAGACCTGGGACCGGCAGAAGTCCGACGAGCGCGAGGCGGGCAGGAAGCACACACCGGCGATTTTTGTTCCAAGTCCCTAGGCTCCTGGCCTACCTCCGTTTAGATGATGGGTTGGGGTGGGTGCCAGGGAAGTCTAACCGACTTCTGGGTCCCGAGATAAATCCAACAAGTTGCACAACATGAAGGGCACCACGTGCCCTCCATGTGCAAACTGTCTCGCAGTCCCACGTCTTCGTCAGGAGAAGCCCTCCATTCCCTGCTTTGGTCAGTCCATGACCTGAGCGTCTTAGCCGTCCTCAGCACCTGCAGCGCTTGCACTTGTGTCGATGTCCCGCTCCAGCTCCGCTGGGCGATGGCAGCCAAAGCGTTCCAACGGTCGCATTCTCACCATGTATGTCATCATCCCAAGTTACCCACGTGCAGCATGATGGGAAGCGCTTGAGCGCAAGCGAGCAGAAAAAAGCCCCTTTTTCTGCGCCACATGGTCTTCGACGCAATGTCAAGACGGGCTTTTAAGGTTTGGATTTGAAGTCCTTCTTCGACCAGTTCGTCTCTTCGGGCCTTCCAAACGTCCACCGAAGAACGATCCTTCGGGCAGGCAAGACATGCGAACCTGGCCAGCGCCGACCAGTCAGAGACCGGGGCTCCCAGGGGGAACGACCCGAACTCCAAGCGATGAACTCATGGATTGTCTCATGGCGGGGAACTAGTCATGTCATTGCACTCAGCCCTGCAAGCAGATGGGAGAGAATGAGCTTGAATGGGTGTCAGTGACCATCCGAAGAAGACAGAGAATCCGGGAACGACCCGTCCGTCCGGTGCCTGCGGGCCGTTTGACGACCCGACCCAATCACAGAGTCAGTCAGGCCGCTGACGTCACCGAGTGGTGCAAACACCACCCAAAGGAGGGTGATTTCATGGAACATACATAGTCAGGGGGTCTATCAACTTGGAACCACCCAGTTCACTGGGTGGTACTGGATGTGAACTAGGTGATTCTGGATGTGAATTGGGTGGTGCTGGATGTAGATGTTGGTTAAACAGACAAAAACAAAACACAGCTGGACCCTTTACATGTAAAATTGCTGTTACGAGCATCCCTTCCAAATCTTTTTTCCACCAGATCAGGGGCTAGGTGGCCATATCATCAGTCAAAAATGTGTTAAACAATACAATATATAATACAGAATGTTAATGAATCAAACGCCCACACAGGAGGTTCAATTTTACGGTTATATCCACATTGTGTCTATTCATCCACATGCTACATGACTCACTGCAGAGCAGAAATGCATTCCGTCAGGTCCTCCCATGTCTGCCGCCCGGTTTGAAATCCTCTGCCCAACCGCCAGCTGTCGCCCAGGTTCAACCGCCAGCTGTCGCCCTCGCAATCCTTGCCGCATGTGCCTCATATCCCGCCGGGGACGCCGAGAGCGGCGCCGCGCGACGGTGGGGAACAGCTCGACGAACGGTGGACGTTCGACACATGTGGGGGGTCCAAATTGATTGGTCCACTGCCCAGACCCAGAATCTGGGCCGGATTTGCTTCATCGGCTTCGGGCTTTGAGATGTTTGCTTCGGGTCCAGACCCCGTTTCGGTTCTTAGTCGTTTGCTGTTGAAGAGATCTTCAGAGCGGGTGAGGCTGGTTCCCTGGTCAGAGTGTGTTGGTTGCCTCGCCCCTACTAATCCAGGTCCATTGGTACCTTTTCGCCAGCCAGGGTTCATCAGAGGTCCGGAGATGTCTTTCATGCTTGATCTATTGGACATGATAGCTGAGTAAGTGCTTTTCAGACGGCCTCGGCGCGGTAAAGATTCGGGTTCAAAGTCACCTGGACCTCGACGGACGGGTTCATCCGGTCAAGTCCGGACTCGGCCAGCGTCCGAATTCTGCACACCTACACTCAGCAGATCCCCTTTTCATAGACTGCGGATTCTGCTTGGGTTTCAACATGTCACATCGTTGGTTCCGCAACGGATCGGTTCAAGGAGGTGTGTGTGTGGGTGTTGGGCCGGCCCTTTCGCACTCCAACCAAGGCGGGAAGAGAAGCGGCAGGTGGGGCGAAGGGGTTGAGGGCGACTTGTTCGCGCTGGTCGGGGCCTCCGACCCAACGAGCTGAAGCGGACGTTTGTTGGATGGCGCTGGTAGGGATGTTCATGTGCCTGACATTGTGGGAACTTTGTAACGTTGTGGAAGTGTTTCTTGGAATGGTAGAGAGTATGATAAGTGTCCCTCCCTTTGTGAGTCTCAAAGTTGCTCATGAGTTCTTTCGTCTTGTGTGGAGGTGCCTCCCAACGTTGAACGGGTTAAACGTGTAAGGACCTCCATGGATCATTTTATCCAGGTATCCAGTGAATGACCTGCAACCCTTTTCCACCAAACATGACCAGCTTTCTTTTCGTTGCGAGGAATTACAAACTTGAGGCCATCGTGCCACCGCAAACCTTTGCTGCTATAGTGAAGCTTTTGAAGCGGCTCTTCGATGTCACTCTTGACACCAGCACAGAAATATCTTCGGGCAAGCACGAGCGGGAGCCATTCCTGCGGACCCCCGTGGAGCCATATATTTGGAGCGAGACCTTTGTGTTTGAATGCCGAGCTTTCCGGTTTCGCGAGGCTTTTGTTGGAGGGTGGAGGAAGGACTTTGAACACATATGGTAATTTGAGCTTGATTCGTGTTGTGTTTCATTCGTTTCGGGGTTTGCGTGATCCTTTGTTTCGTCGATGTTCATGGAGCCGACCAGTGTGTCAACGATGGGTTCCGAACGAACGGAGACCCGCGAGGACACCGAGGTCGTCTCACTGCAGCACTTGAAGTCTGCCAAGACTCGTGCACAGGTGCGTGGTTCGTTGGGCCACTGGGCCACTGTCGGGTGTGGACAGGTTTGGGATGAGAGGGTTTTGGCTGAAGTGGACAGCCTTTGTTGAGACTTGGCTTGCACGAGTTGCTTTGGAAGGGACTGTCATTTGAGTTGTGTTAGAATGTTTTGGAAAGTGGTTTAGAAGAGAACATATTTATGTGAGAATCATTATACATGTTACTAACTCTACTTTCTATTTGCAACACAGGAAGAGCAGGGTACCCTTCCGGGTGTAGACTCCAAAGCTCAGTTTGCTCGCCAGCTCGCCATGACCCCCTTCGATCCGCCGATTAGACCTCCAACAGAAACATCCGTCTTAGTCCGCCAGGAGTTCAGTGGATCACCTGCAGTCTGCAGGTCCACCTTTTTGGGGAACTTGGTGTCCCCACTCAACAAGAAGAGGTGGAATTGTCCTTCGGTTTACCGGCTTGTCCTCCGGCGATGTTGGAGTCGGAGTGCCATATGCGGCTGGTCCCCAGCGAAGGCTCTGAACAGTGCGATGGATCATCCAGTCATCCCATGCGTTCATGTGCTGGGCAGGTCGGCTAGCCGAGATCATGCGCTGGTTGGTACCCCCTTTCTTTGTTGGTGAGTGTCTCAAGTAGGGTGACCAAAGTGATGCTCATGGCCGATTTGCGGAATCCAACCATCTTGAACCACTGATGGTCAGGGAGCAAAAAAGGGGTGTGCATTCAAAACTAGGGAGACCAGTCTACACCTTGGGGGGTGGTCCTATTTTAAGAGAGGGACCTCTTCATAGTCCTCTTCATCCTTCCGGAGCACACAAGCTACACTGGCCCACACGTGGGTGAACCACCGGTCAGCTAGGGATTCGAACTCTTTTCCGGGAAGTGTTGGGTGGACCGAAGCACATGCCAGCAGATCATACCCTTCCAGGGCTTGAAAGATCATTTTCCTTCAACATGTGGGGCTTACACCGTTTACACCGTTGTTCAACGTTCCTTTTATACATGTTTACCACGGGGGTACTCCAGCTGAGACCATTTTCAGTTGTTATGTTGGACTTGGTTCTTCAGTATAGTTTGGGTTTGTCCGAACTTGCTCGTAACAGTTGTCACTTGTTTTTGCTACCAACCATCATCATCCACTGCTACTGGTAGTGGAATAGACTCGGATAGACCCAAAGTATAGTAATTCATGGCGATGTTTTTATTGTTGAAGTGGCGAACCCTTTGTTTGGTGCTTCAAGTTGTTGATGTGTGTTTCCCGGCAGAATTCCTTTGATTCAGGATGTCAAGGACACAGCGTGACCGCTGTCCTCGAGTTGGGGAGGGGGTCGAGTTTTAAGTTTCCGCCGCTCCAGGCTTGCGGGGAACGGAATGGGAAAAGACATCCGTGGCCACGAAATCGATCAATGCGCCCATGGGGCAGCGGTCAACAACGATTGTTTGCACAAAGCATCACAAAACGATTGTTTTGACACCTTTTGAAACCGGTGTCTTCTGTTTAGTAAGTTGACGTTTCCAAGCAGCCAGGTATGAAAAGGACAATTGACCTGCCATCACCTCACAACTGAAAACAAGGACGGTGAACCATGTAATGAGGGCACAACTGGCATCAATGAGAGCCCAGATGGTTCGTTTAAGGCAAACGGTTCGGATTAAGATCGGAGCAGGCCACACATATGGCATTTTCAGGACTCCGGATCGGGATTGATTCAAAGAAATGGTACACATGATCTCTGGCACCAAAATTGGATACTGTATGATTTTTGGGGTGTTGAATCAATCAGCAGTTTTGTTTGATTGACCCGAAACCAACACAGCTTTGCTCCATTAACAAAAACAAAATACAACTCAACTACTGTAGTTTGAGACTAGGTCTGTCGAGTTCCTCCGCGGGTTCTTTGTGGCACCGTCCCCCGGAAGCGATGGCTTGGTTCTCCGGGGTCCTGCAAGACGTCCGGACGCGCTCCACTGGGCTGCGGGACCGTCGCCTGGCAGGAACAGGAACAGGGCAAAGATGGAAGTTCTTGTTTTCTGAAGCTTCCCATGCCACATCTCACTTATAGTTATATGTTGAAACATGTACTATGCATACTGAAGGATATTAAAGGTCTTCTGTTTGAGTAGCTACTCGACTTCCAATTTGTAATTGAACCGCTGACCGCCGCGTCCTTTGAGGCGTCCGGGAGCAAGCGAAGGCTTTGGGGCGAGGCAAGCCGAGGTGTTTGAAAGCATATTTAGTACATTTGGATTCTGTTTGAGGGACTATAACATCTATAAATCAATCTCTTCCATTGTTTTCCTTTTTTGCTGGTGAATGAACTTAGGTGACCGCTTTGATTGAATCTGAGCGTGCGACACCAAAAGCTAAAAAAGCTGCCGCACTTGTTTCTTGAGCCAAAATTCAGGTTGGGTTGGTTTCAGTGCTCATGACTGACGTGTCATCTTCCAAAAAAGGAAAGGGTGGAGCGGTGCTTAGGATTTCTCACTCCCCCTGATGTTATAAACATCACACCTTCTCAAAACTGCCAAGAGAATGGGAGCTGTCTGTTTCGTCAGACTCCCGATTCCCTCCAGTCACAGCAGTTTCAATGCCTAACCACACAGGCATCTGGGATGGATCCTCTTCGATCAATCCCTCACCGGCCAGCGCCCGGGTCCAGCCGCCCTCGATGGTGCCGGTCTCACCCCTTTTTTCATAGCCCTGCAGTCGGACTCGATAGCCCTGGCTCTCCTCACTCGCATGCCCCGAAGCACTCTCAGCCGATACCTCCACAGCAGCATAGGAGCGACACCCCGCCTCTGCCAGCGCAGCCCTTCCCCTTTCCGCTGCTCGAGACCTCGACGGCTGATCTTCTCCATACCCATGCGGGCTTTGATTCACCGTGCCAGGAGGTGGAAGTGGGTTCGAAGATGCCGAGCCCACATGTCCTTCAGTCTCTCTCGGAGGGAATCTCACATAGAAAAAACTGTAGCCCCTCCATTCATAGACATCCGCCAAATCCGAGTTGCGGGAATTGATCCAGTCATCTATGATCTCCTTCCTCTTCCAGGCTTCTCGAGTGCTGTTTCGATGGAAAGCCACTGTCACCCTCGTCGAAGCCAGTTTCTCAATCATAAAGGGCGTCCCCCTATGTAGGGGGTGGAAGGCTCTCACCCTGCTTTTCTTCAGCACACGAACCCACCATTCACCTGCTCCATCTCCACTGCCAAGGCACTCCCACCGGTCATTACCAGTGGGAGGAGTTGCAAATCGCTCCAGCCGCCACGGAGTGTCCGTGCCCAGTCCCAGATGCGGCCCCAGAGCACGGATAGCGCACACCCGAGGGATCCATGGCTGCGCGTGCGATGGGTCCGACAGGGTGCCAAGATGGCAAGTGTCGAGCGAACGATCGTCGGTCGATGTTGGGCCAGGTTCATTTTCCCTTGACCATCTTGACTTCTCTGTCCACCTACTTGGGTCAGGTTCATTTTCCCTTGACCATCTTGAATCTGTTCTTTTCTGGGTTGCGTTAGGCCTCTTGGTTGACTGGCATTCTGCCGTCTTGTACACACTGCTAGCTACGAAAGTGGCAATTGCTCCCAATGCAGTCACACACGCGATACGTGGAAGGCTTCCAACGTAAGGCACGGCAGCAAGCAGTCCCAGCGAAGCCATTGCAGCATATGCCACCTTTCTCAAAGTAGCACCATGCCCATCACCCTGTTGTTGTGAGTGACCCAACGAGGCTGCATCACGGAGACCAACAGCATTCCTGAATGCCAGCCAAGGTTGTGACTGAGTGATGGATTTCGTTAGCAGGTCTGCACACAGCTCCGCTCCTGGGACGTGCTCTATATCCCATAGATGGTGCTGAAGCCGTTCCCGAAGAACGTGACTCCTCAACCTCAAATGACGAGTCCTCCAGGGACCCGACGGAGCCTGAAGCAGTTGCAGGCCGGACATGTTGTCTCCCTTGAGCGTGAACGCTCCCTCTTTTTCAAGGATGTTCTGGTGCAGCACATTCACCACCGCACCAACACTCTCGCCCAAGGTGAACCCGTCGATATAGCCCAAAAGCTCACTCTCTGTAGTGCTCAGGGTGGCAAAAGCCTGGGACTTCGATTCCCAAGCTACCAAGCATCCACCCCACATAGCCATGATCCCTTGATGACCACGACCTCCAGCAGGAGCGAACGAGGAATCGGTCAGCACTTCCAGGCGAGCCAGCGACTGTCTACGGCCATGTCGATCAAGCTCAGGCGAACAAGGTCCATATTCCAGCACCAGATCTGGGGTTGCAGCCAAGTATCCAACAACATGGTTCGCCAGCTCCAGCACACCCTTAGGGGATTTGGTTACCCTTGCACCCAAATAAGCAACAGCGAAGCTGAGATCAGGTCTTGTCCGAGTCGACAGCCACAGGAGTTCCCCCACCAGAGTTTGACATTGCTTCACATCCGTGGGGTCTATGACTTCCTCGGGCTCAAGCTCAATCATTTTGGGAAGCGGTGAGTACCTCAGTGGAAGGTCAGGATGCCGGGTGACAAGTTCTCGAGCATAGTCCGGCTGGCCAATCATGAGGTTTGCTCCATTCCACTTCATCTCCACTCCACAAAACTTCCTCCACTCCGACGAGACCACCCACGTCGGTGTAGAGCATCTCCAGGTCGACGCCAACTTCGTCAGAACGGCCTGTGCAACTGATTGTGGGCCCATGACAATGAAATCGTCCACGTAGGATAGAGCAAACCCCGATGGTTCACCCTCCTCCATGACGTTCACATAGTCCCCTTCTGCCCCATTCGCAGTCATCAATCTCCACACATTTGGCTCTGGCGTCGCATTGATCCAGTAGTGCACACCTGACTCCCACCACCGTAGACTGCGGAGAACCTCATCTCTGTACGCCTGCCAGTCCGAGGGTGAGCTGTCCAGACCATACACTGCTGCTTCTACCACCCAACGTGTGTCCGCAGAGATCAGTCCAGCTTCAACCAAAATCGCCGGGGGCTTGGTGACCATGAGCCG